CAAACGCTGCACGGCTGCCATCTCTTGCATGTATTCGAATGCTTACGGGAATATGGTTTGACTCTGAGAGCTGATAAATGTTATTTGTTTATGCCTCAACTGAAATACCTTAGTTTTATAGTCGATAATGACAGGCGAAGACCTAATATTGAAAATATGTGCATCATAGAGGAATTACCTGCATCCCACGACATACCTACTCTACAATCGTTCTTGTGCCTAATAACCTAATATTGCATTTATTCATGATATGCATTGACTTCGCGAACAATGAGTGAGTTAAAAGGCAAACATCGTCCCTGATTTTGCTCATCCCAATGTGAGGAAACGTGTGGACTCATTGCGAAAGTTCTTGCATCTGACTTAATGCTGACACATTATGACCCAAAAAACCTGATATCATTGTCTCCGCAGATGTCTCTAGCTATGGTGTTAGAGCGGTTCGACTCTACTAAGTACCATGAGATCCGTTTCCTTAACGAAGTCGGAAGTCGAGAAAGAGGCACTCGCTTTAACTTTTGCTACCAAAACGTTTCGTCGGATGTTGCAGGGTAGAGAATTCCTATTGGAGACTTTTTCGGTTCAAAGAAGGGTATACCTGTGTACACAACGAATCGCCTCCAGCGTTGGACGACACTATTACTTGGATATAATTTTACAATAATTCATGTGCCTACGGCAGATTTCATTTACGCCGATGCGCTGTCTCGACTTATCACAAAAGAGCCAAGCATAGAAGAAGACCAGGTGATCGCATAAGTTGCGCTTGAATCGGACGTAAACCAGCTTCTACGGAACTCGACCAGAGCTCTTCCGATTACTTCTGTGGCCATTCAGCAGCACGCCAAACTCCACCCTCTCTTGCAAATGTTATTCTTTTTTCTAACACAAAGTGGCCAAACCAGATTACTGACACATACCTTCACCAATTTCATTGTCGATGTGACTTAGCACTGGTTGTGTTATGTTCGGTGAATGCGTGATTGTTCCGAAGTCCCTGTAGGCAAGGGTATTAAGCTATTTGCAATTACACCACCTCGGAATATCACGGATGAAAGCTATAGCCATAAGTTACGTATACTGGCCTTTTATTGAAAATCCTATCCATGTTTGTGTCGCCGTATGTGGCAGTTGTGCCTCAGCATCGAAATTTCCAAGCAAAATTATCCAACCCTGGATGCCAGTCTCCAAGCCTTGGGAGGGAATTCACGTTGATTTCACTACTCCAGCGCAAGGCCAGTACTCTTAGTAGTGATTGATGCATATACCAAGTGGTCGGACGTACACCGGTTAAACACAACCACGACAGCGACCATAGCAAGGAAACTACAAGTTATTTGCACACTTCGGTTCACCAAGCACCTTGATTTCCGATAACGGTTCACAGTTGATCTCCGATGAGTTTGGTATTTTCTGTCTACGTAATGACATCAATCGCTAGTGGTCCACACCGGGGCATCCCCAGTCCAACGAGCAAGCAGGAGGATTCATTTATACCTTCAAACGTTCACTTATGAAGCTGCGTGGGTAAGAACCGCCAGAGCAGATCATGCAGCTGCTCCTGTTAAGTTATTGGGCTACGCGTAATCTGGCTGCACTAGGCAGCAGATCCCCAGCGGAAATCATGTTCGGGCGGGAGATACCTCTTCCAGTTGATGCGATAAGCCCTAAGGTTTCGCAACGGCCACTCGCATCAGGCGTGAATAGAACTATTTTACTAGGAGAGCCGGTGGATGCAGTGGATACGCGGCCGAACCACCAAACCTGACAACCTGCAGTGATACGAAATAGCAAGGGCACTATGCTTTACGAGGTGTCTGTCGGACCGTTGTCTTTCGTTCGGCACGTTATCAGTTATGCAAACGTTGGATGGAGCACCCAATCCCTTCTACTTCCGAATTGCCGTTCGATGTACTGCTGGACACGTTTGAACTGCCAAAAACTTTAGTGCTCAGTGAGCCGATGGAAACGTGTACAAAACCGTGCCGCGGAGTCACTCGGAGACCTATGCGGACAACAACGGATCCGGCGTTTACGGCTGAACCCGGCACTTCATTCGTGCGAGTCTGGAGAACGTGTTTTCATGTGAGGAATTGTTACGCCAGGCGATCCGGTACCTTAAAAGTATGACGTCGTCCCCTACCCATGACTGTGAACTTCTCTCTAACCCAACGCTCTACTGTGATTCATACGCCTGAGGCCGCTGATTATGCGAGGCGACCTCCCTCTCACCTTACCCTATATCGCCGGCTGTTTTTCCTGCTTCATGTGACTTGACATCTAGTCAATACACTGTTCCTTGCGGTGAAAATCTTTGTTCTGGGGACTCTGTGCTTCATTGGCCGCGGTGATAACTATTCTTATTCCTTTTCTTCCTTCTGACACATCGCTTCCTCTTGTTGTAGAAACTCGCTCCATTCCTTGACCAAATGTGTTGTTGCCTGTCGCCCAATTTTGCTAACTTCTAGTTTATATGTGCCGAGTTCTTCTGTGGGGCGAGTTGACAATGCCTGCAATCTGACGTGGCTTTGTGGTTGAAAAGCCGGAATTTTTGAGCGTTAAAACTTCTCCGGTGGGACTGCTTATCACTCCACAAAAGAATTCGCTTATGTGCTTCATGTCCATTAGGCGGAGATTCTAGTTGTCGAACTGAAACCGCAGTAACTTTTGTTCGTCTACACCCACCCTGTGCCAACTGGCACAGGAAGTAAGCGAAATTCGTCTTCCTCACAGATCAGCCTGCTTTCAATTTCACATCCGTAATTTACGAGTTCCTCACGTTTTTCTGTTTCCTTCGATCAATCAGCACTTACTATTGCCATCGCTACGTAGTTTCTCTCTTCCTAGCTTGCGCGTTCGCGTTCACGTTCACATGAACTCATGCTCTTTCAGAACGTTGCATTTAATCTACTGTGTTCGGCTTTGTTGCCGGTGCGACACTGCAATTTATCGCGTTGGTACTATGAACGCCCATTTTTGAACCATCAGACTGGACATTTGCTTGTAAAAACCTAAGAATTCATTGCGAATGGGTCTCTGTTTAATCATTCTCGTCAGGAATTTGCAGCTGTAAAAGCTTTTCAAACACTACATTAGGCCCGTTAAAGTTGATTATACCAAAGCAGTGTGACCAGGTCTGGTAGAAACGTCTCGATAGATACACAAGTCTACTTTATCTGATGATTAACGGCGCGGCGCTGCCAGTCACACATGCATGCGGACGCACCCTCATCAGTGTTGAAGCACGCATGCGTGGTCTCAAAGGTAGACTATCAGTCCAGTCTGAACCCTATATTTTCCGCCAAATTACTCGCGACCCTGTTGGCAGGTACGCCGGACACACTGCTACATATCCATCTGGACGGATACAAAACTCCAAATGTCACTGCCTAGGGACGTAACCCGAAGTATCAACAACTCTATCCTGGAAAATTTGGTTCCAATTGGACACCATAGTGTAGCCAACGGCACGTTCGTGCCTGCGTTGTGTCAAAGTGGTATCCCCAAATGCTTGTTAGACGCCTCTTACTGATGATCGAAGTCGTTTCGGTAAACCGTGCAGGCATGCGGCGCTCAGCCGTCGCTTGTCCAAAGACACCGCTAATATCGAATACAAATGGTGAACGGATACTTCTTCATCACCTCATGAACGGACGTAGGCCTGCTCCACCGTTGTGGATTGGTTTTGTTCTACCGATCTGCCGGGAGAAGATCCATTAAGCAAAAACTTTGTGTAAAGTCTGGCGTGTAGGTGGTCTTAGTGATGTGAGCAGTAATTACTTGCACTAGTTCTGCCTCTAGGTAATGAGGTCCTCATATTTTTGTTGTGGTGAGCGCTTTCTTGGGTTTCATTTATAAAGGCTTGTTTTCTGTCTCTTAGCCGTAATTTCCAAATGCTGGTGCTTGGAACGCAGAATGTTTGTTAACTTACGAGCAACCATATGCCCACATATCTCTCATGTTGACCACCGTTCAGTCGTTAGCACCTCCTCTTATTATTTGCGTCAAATGCGAAGGAACACTATCTTTCCTTCACACCTTAACTCCTGTTGTCCTAATTATACACAAATGGAATGTTGTCTCAGACAGCGATTCCTTTAGCCTACTTAAAATTATTTGTATAACCACGTACTGGATGGTATATATATAGGGTTCTATCTTATTTTCACCCGGTAGTTGTGTTCTCACCCGGTACATTGATGGAACGCCGCTCTGGGAATGGTGTAGGTTTGTGCGCATGATCGTATTGGTGCCTCGCTTGTCGGCTGATCAAGTCACTAAGAATCATTTTTGATGTTAGGACTTACTAACTCCGATCAGTCTAGATCTGAAGCTAAGCTGCTATTTTTCATGATCCCGCCACGTTACTCTATTCGTTTTCTACACAAATGCCCGACAATAATAGTCGCACTATCTGTGCAATTTGAATTCTTCAACCCAAATTATTTTTCTCACTTGCCTATTCAGTTGATCAAGTTTGATCAATAAAACTTTTATATTAGCTTGGGACAAAGCAGTTCCACTTTATATTCCGCTTGTCTTTTCGCGAAATGTGCGTCTCACAACCGAACTGAGAACCGCATATATCCGAATAACTCGCTATTATCATACTTTGAGTAGCTGGATACGTTTCGGCCTTGATTACAATTGTCATCGCACTCTACGAATAGTCATCTGTTCCTTATCTTGCTCGAACCGTTTCCACTTGAAGTGCCCATGACATGTAATATCAAGGAGCCAGCGACGATGAAACCTTCTGCAGCCGCATCTCTCATTGCCTGCCCATGGCCTTAAAAACCACAAGCCCGCCTTGTAATGGAAGGTGTGGGTTCGAGCCTGCTTAGTGGACCGGATGACCATTGCAGTATTCTTAGCATACGTGAAAGTTGTGGTAGTTGCGCGATAGCGAGGCTTCGACACTGCGTACTGCTGACGCTTTTTACTTCTCATTATGCTACCGATTACGATTTTACTCATCAACTTCATTCCATTGTTTTCAGCGTAAACGGGCCAGACTAAATCTACCGGGTACCCGAGCTCTACCCGTGGCTGATCTGTTGAGCACTTCCAATCAAGTCATTCGCGAAGTGAAGCAAGCTGATTTGACTGCTGGCGCTGACGTAGCGTTGATCAAATCAGTCACCTCTGATGAGTCACAGTACGTCTCACGCAGTTCCACCGATGATCCTGGCAAATTGGCCCACCGGAAGCATCAGATTACTTGGTTAGCACATCAGGTACGTTGTTTTATTTGACTTCACTGCTTTTTCGATGTCCGAAAGCGTTTTTGTAACTGTGTTCCTAGTTTTTGGGTCCACAACCAGGGATAAGGAGCGCCCTACGACGTCCAACTTTGGTCACAGTTTTATCACACCTTGTGCTCGAGTCGTTCTCTGGTCACTTCGATGTCACCTTTATGCAACATCTGTGCGCGTCTAGAAGGTCCTTTTAAGCCACCATTGAGCAGGCATGTGAAGCATGTGCTCGATTCACAGCAGTCTACACAACAACATTATGCCTCTCAGCGAGCGGTAGAAGTTGTGATTTGAGAATCTGTCGGCAAACGTCTTCACTACTACTTTACTATTGCCATTGTACATCAGCAGTGATCTGAAGTCAGCATTGACCAAAACGGTCCGGGCACTTTTCTCGAACGGGCCAACTCGCAGCCACACAACGAGACTGCTCATGTACTTTTATTGTAGTATCGGTTTTTGTTCGACCAACTTGACGCCACTTTAGCTTTGGGGACAGCGGCGATTCATAAAAGCAAACTAGATCCCTAGAAATGTGCAGCGACCTGATCCGTTTTACCACCAGTAGTAATACGGCTCCCAAAGCAAATGAACACGCCATCCACTTCCAGCGAGTAACCCACGTAAGTTTAACTTGGTGCAGCTCTTCGAAGTGCCATAAGTCATTTCGGCCTGTGAGACGTACACATTCAACCAGTAAAACATATTTCAGACGAACTACAAGGATTCGCAATTTACGACGAAATTGTCTACGTGCTCCACCGTACTATGTTTTTCCTCCTGAAGGGTAGGGTGTACAATACAGCCGTCCGTTTAACACATCTTTACGGTTGTGAAACTTGCCCCATTACATTCGACCACCTGTGCCTTCGCAGCTTGGCTCACATCTGGTGGGAACACCGCGTGAGCAACGAGCTTGTTCGATGCCGTGTTTATAGCACGAAGAGGAATAAAACCACTCAGCACCGTTATTTCACGGCCACATGTTGCGTGTGCCAGTCCGCTGACTCCCGCAACGTGCGTTTGCACACCGGGGGTGTGGATCGAAGAGTGGAAGGGGTGGCAAAGCGATGACTTGCTCGTGAGCAATTAAGACATTACTACATTGACCTTAGTTGGAGTCTCTCGGCTCCCTGATTGGGGACTGAATGATAATGAACACATTTGGGTGGGTATGACTAGGAGCCTACCTCAGTGGCGTTCGTATGAATTTCTTTATCCATCCCCATCCCTCTTAGCCTCCTCCTTCAACCGTGATCTCATTTCTTAGCGTAATATGAATTTTGCATAATAAATTTGTTTTGCTGCATAGTAGCTGGCTGATATCATACTGGGACCATGCCCATTCGTTACTGGTAGCTCAGCTGGCGTGCAGCTGTTGTTTTTTTTCTTTTTGTATTGCAGCACAGTAGCTGAGATGTTTTTCACCTCTAGCTAAGATGTATAATGATGATAATGATGGAACCATTCGGTACCATTAATTTTACAGTATTCCCAAACGCTCTTCAGAATATCATCTATAGCGATGTTACATATGGAGAATGACGCTAGGTACTGTCACTGAAATTTGGCAAGGGATGACCACATCCACACAAGGCGCGTGGTATGAGAATTACTCCCTGGAAGATGTCGACATACGGCATGGGCACTCCTCCTTCTAAAAGACAGACCGAGTCGAACTCAGCTCCTACGTTTAGGAAGATAACGATTTTCAGCTGACCGAACATTATGGTCTGCTGGAGTATTTGACAGCTGGTAACGATGTAGTCGATACGGCATGCTCTCCACCTGTGTGTTGTTCTTGTACGCGGAAGAGCATCCGTAAGAGAAGGACAGCAAGCATTTTGGGTGCAACGCAGCGCATTCCATTCGACTACCTGTTTTGTGCATGATACTGATATCCTTTAAGCTCTTACGCGATCGTATTCCTTCTCTACCAAACCTAGAACGTGACATTTCATGACAAAATTCACGTGGCCTAGACAGGTAAACCTCTTGTCTGTGCGGCCCACTTTCAACTGCATGGTACTGAAGAGACTTCCTGGGTGGTCATTTGTGAATGTACTCGGATTGCTTCGTACCATTCAGCTGAGCGAGGGTTCTGCATCGATCACTGCACTGTTTTTTTTGTCGGCTGGCGATCGACTGGTCTGCACACCTGGCCTGCAATCATAAGGTCCCCGGTTCAAATCCGCGTAGAGGCGGGCGTCCTCGCGGTATACTCAGCCCACGCTCGGCTGGTGGTGGTCGCGCGACAGTGAAGTGCCGTTACGGCATGCAGCTGACACGTTCATTTTCATTTTACTGCATTGTTTTAGGTCTTTTTTCAGTTGCCCTCTGGTTTGATTCGGTAGTTGTTTCACTTTTTCCTGTGTTCTCTTCAGTGACCCACAGACTAACCTATTCGTTTGACTCGCTTTAATCAGCAAAGTGGTATCGTCTACCTTTTACGCTTACTTCCTATTCATATGTCGAATGTTCCCCACGCTTGTTCCACATGTAACTTGCGTCTTAGTTATGCTTTGTCTCTGATAGTTTTTCTGACTTCATCTTTCCTGCACCGTTAGTCTCCTCATATAACCTGGAGGTTGCCTAACAATCTACTTCTCCCCTCACCAGGGCAATGATATGATGTGTGTGAACTCCGCGTTCGCCGCTGCTGCAACTCTTGGCTCCAAATCGTAATCACCTAGGTTTATATCAGAACATACGCTAACTTAGTTGCTCGTAGGTCTAAACTCTAAGTGAAACGGATTAACTTTTACGGTTCCTCTCCCTGTCCTTTTGTCAACCCTTCGTCCAACTTGTGTTGTTCGAATGACTGACTTCATCACAGAAGTCACTTAGGTAGGTGCATGTGCTCCTGGTAGGTGCATCCTGATTATTATACCTCAGAACCAGTATTGGGACTGGTAAGTCGTACATTATTACCTTGTCCCTTCAGTTAGGCTGTATCTCAATGACTGACACATGTTTGATATGAATGCTCGAGTGCGGCTTCGCTCGGTGTGATTGTCGACAGCGCGCTTGCGCACCTGCTACTACTGCTACAGTTACTTGCTCCTCGAGATTGCTGAGATCGATGAGGTTCACGCCTTGTTTAAATCACTATCTTCAATAAATTGCTCCAGCACGAAATGGGGAACGATTCAGTCACACGGCTGTTCTCGACTGGCCCACCTGTCGTCTTAGACTTTACTCCATTGATATGCGTGTTGAAGTGAGGACCAGCTCCAAACTAATCGTGGCTCCCGTCCTAATACTACTGGTTTGCACTTTATACAGCCCTGTGGAGCGAACTGTTGGTGGTGCAGCACGGGCCTCACATGGTTCTTCCATTGGCACTAAGCCCGATGTGGGCGTCCGCAACTCCAATTGCAGTCCCCTGGTGACTGTTATCGCCAACTGTGCAACTTAGGCAGTAGTGCACGTAATCAGTTACTCCTTCCACTGATCACTTTGTTTTCGCTAGGTAGTTAGAGTTCTTTGAGCAGCGATCATTCTGATTACTCCGGTTGGAGGTTTATCGGCTTCTTTCATTTCTAGAAGCAAACAGCGTTCGTCTGCATTATCAGGCAATGTTGGCTGTAATTATCATTGCATCTCCTGGGATTATCGTAGATTCCTGTCCTACTGTTTATCTGCCAGACTTGAAAAGTCGGTTTCTGTAGTAATTGCATGTAGCCATCGGATATCGTTAGCAAGAGCACAATAGTTGTACTTTCCAAACTCTGAGATGTGTAAATCTTGATTTTCTGCTCCGTACAGAGGAATTTACCCCTTACACGATTATGTTTTGTGTCACAACACAGCGACAGAGTTCCGTTCATTTCCAGCTGCTATGTCAGACGAGTGTATGGATGAATCGGCTAAACAGTAGATGACTATCAGTGACATCATCAGTAGTTTGCCGTCCTTTTGCGGTGTTAGCTATTTCTTTTTATGTGAACTTTTTCATCCAAAGCAAAGGTTGGGACACCGAGGACAATACGAGCTTTCTTCCAGTTTCTGTATATCCCATTGCATGATTGAGCTTCCTTCTTGTACGACCAGTTCACCTTTCCTGTGAGCAGCAAGGTATAAGTGGTCATGGTTGCACCCGTTTACTAGTTCCTCTTGGGACCACCCTCTCGGATCCCTTTCCAATTTTTTATGTACAAGATAACTTCCTTTTCTACCGAGTGTAATGTAATCCTCTAAGAATAATGAACGAAGTCTGAGTCAGGACAAAAATTTGTTATGAATGGCCGATGGGCGATTTCACACAGGAGAGCTTTTTCGACCGTCGTCGCTCCGTGCCGGATCGGCTTTGGCTCACTGACACGTGTACATGTGATCGACTTGGGGTCTGCTCGTCATCACTACACCAGGCAGCGCTTGTACTTCATTCGATCACACCTGTTGTGTGACTGTACGACCTCACACCATTCTGGATTCTACAAGATGCGCTAACCTCTACTTAGCAGACAGTGAGTCGATGCACATGTAACAGAACCAATGCTAATTATTTCGCTTGGTTGATTACTCCGAGCCATCTCATACCACACTGCGTTTGCTCAGTGATTGGCGGTGCAGTAAACCTTGCAGTTATTGAAGACGATGGATTTCCATCATGCATACCTACTTAACTTTTCCAACTGGATGACATCCCTAACCTATGATGATGATGTGTAGCAATTCGCTTTCTGGCTTTCTCATTCGCGGATTCTCATTTTCCATCTCCCTGGCTAAAACACCGCAAATTCTGAACCTGCTACTGTCTGTTCCACCGTTCGGACTGCCGAAATCATATTGCAAAACCTGACGGTCCTCTAGCTTCTCTATGTCCTTTGACTACAAGACCGATAACGAAAGGCGCTCCACTGATGAAACCAAATAATATTGTTAGCCGACCCAAAAGTAATGATAGATTAATTACGAGAACGTTTGCTTTCTTGAAAATGAACTCTTTTTATTATTCTCCTTGCCACTTTGCACTATTT